GTGTATTTCAGTCGGTCTGCCTGTTCTGGTACTCTGTCTCTGGTGAGTCCTCTTACCACCACCACCACCCCGCCTCTGGCCTGCACTCCAGTTCTTGTATGCATAAATAAATCTTTAAAAAAAAAGTCAATGCAGGGAGTTCAGACTGTCACCCTTGTTACTCATAAAGTCAGGTTGGAAAATGTGGCTTAACTTGCAGCCACATCAAGCCCCAAACCGCCTGCGAACCCATCTGAACTTGAAAGGTCCTGCCAGAGGGGCATCACCCCCAATCGCCTGGAGAATCAGCGTCTTTTCCATCAGACCCCAGAACTGAGCACACACAGAGCTGGGCCTTTAAACCTAGTGCCTCAGTGCCCCCAGCCACATTTAAGGACAAGGGAGCAGGGGAACGGGGCGGCCAGCAAGGCCTCAGTGATCAGGACAGAAAAGAGGGACCCACAGTCCAGCCCTCTGACATAGGAAAGTCCAAACTTGTATATATTTTCAATCCAAGCACCTGCTAAAATGCCTCTAGGCGGCTGCTTCATCTTTCAGAGCTTGAAATCATCACCAGTGTTCACACCCAGGTTTCATACCATGCCAATGTCTGAACCAGCTCCCAGAGCCTTAACAATGACAAAATGCTAAGGATCCTTTAAGCATAAATAACCAAAAAGATGAAATCCTTTTAAAACCTCAGCACCAGGAGAGTTCCGGTCTTGGGGCACCTGGGTGAACAATAGGGCGTCTGGACAGGATGAGATTTCCTTTACTGTCCGCCCACTACAGAGTAACAAATGTTGCAGCCTGACCCCATTTACTGCCCTCAAGGGAGGCGCCCGTGGTCCCACGTCTGAATCCAGCGTGGGAAAGCTGTCACTGGTCTGGTGCCCGAGGGGGAGCCCAGAGGGAAGGAACCCCTTTCAGACTGGCTTGGAAGGGGTGGGAGTTTTTCAGACAAGGGGGTATGCCCGAGGACAGGCAGAGTGGACAAGTGCTGGGGTCCCCCCTGGGTGTGGGTTGGGGTGGTTGTGGGTGAGGCTGGAAGAGGAGGGAGGTGGAGTGGGGCAAGGCCCAGGGATCCCAGCCAGGTGCATGGGGGAACCTGCTGTCCTTGCCCCCCCCAGTTCGGAGTCCCTCTGAAGTACCAGGAGGTGGAGGACATTGTGATCTACCTCAGCTCCCTGGGGAAGAAAAACACCATCACCACCGATGTCCTGGAAAGCACCTACAAGAAGTGGTATCTGGGGGAGCAGAGGAGCGCCCTGCCCTGTATGTGCCCACACCCCCAGCCCCACCCCACCCCCACCCCATGCCTCCACTTCCCGTCCTGGGAGAGGTCACTTGAGAGGCGGAGGGCTCACTCCCAGAGCCAGTCCCCTGGCCCTGGCCTGCAGCTCAGCAGGGAGGTTCTTGCCCTTGTCAGAGTCCCAGGGAGCTGAAGTCCCCACCTGCCTCCCCCACATTTGTAGGGCCCCGTGCCCAGCTCATCCTCAGGTCACCTCGACTTGGGGCTCCCCACCCCAAGCGCCTTTTTGCCTTTTTATTATACATCACGCAAGGACAAGCTCAGCATTACCCTCTCGTTGGCTGTGAGCCGCCTGGCGGTGACCCCAGAGCACAGAGCGTGTGTGCAGCCAGGCAGCGCCCCTCATTTATAAGTATCAGTGAACTTGAAGCCAAGTGCAGGATCGCTACATACCGGCAAGCTCTCTTACCTTGGGGGTCGCTCACCTTGCCTAAGGGGGCCGCAGCATCAAGAGTCTGGGTGCCCAGCTCACAGGAGAGAAAGCAGTAGTATTGGGGGTGCTCTCCGAGAGAGTGGGGCGCTTTCCCGGCAGCCTTAGCTCAGCCGATCCTTCAGGCACCCCGGAGGTCAGGGCGACCCTTCACACCTCACAAGGAGGAAACGGGAGCTCTGAGACGCCAAGCTGCCTGGCCAGGGCCTCGGAACTGGAAGGTGGCAGGGGGCCTTCATCTCAGCCTGGCAAGCAGGGGGCACAGGGTGCTTTCATTCATTTGGAGCTTCGTTGAGCACCTCCTAGGTGCTAAGCACCCTCCTGGAAACAGCAGTGAAGAAGACAGTGTCCTCGCCTTTGGTGGCCATCCATGCAAAGGATGATGTCCAGTGACCAGAGCTTTGAAGACAACAGGGCATTGTGTTGGGGGGGGGGTGTTCGGGGAAGCAGCCCTTTGAAGCTGAGTGGGGAGCCAGCCTGGAGCAGGAAATGCAACACTGCAGTTCCGAGGCTCTTAAAGTCTTGTTGGCAGGGAGCGAGCGAGGCTGGATGGAGCTCCTGAGGGTGAACAGTAGAAGGTGGATGGGGGGAAGTTGGCAAGGCCAGGTGCTGCAGAACCCGGCAGGCCTGGGAGAAGATTCTGGTTGCGTCTAACCTGGTGTCAGACTGGGGAGGAAGTGGAGAGTTTTAAGCAGGACAAAGAGATGACTGGGTTTAGTTTTCCAAAGGTCCTATTTGCCAGGTGATGGGATGAGAATGGCATCGGGAAGGCTGGGGTTGTGGTAAGGGTGAGGGAAGATGCCCCAGTGGGGCCAAAAAAAGGGCAGCTCTCGGGCGTCTGACAGAGGCGGGAAGCCAGTGGAGGGTGCCGCAGCTAGACCCCTTCCTGCGCCTCCCCCCAGATTATAGATCTGCCAAGGTCAGAGCTTTACGCAGGTTGCCCAAGAAGCAGGTCGATGTAGCCCCAGAGCCTCCCAAGATGGACCTGCTGACCGTGCCTGTGGTCAGCACGGACAAAGAGTCCCGGCCGCTGACCCTGGAGGAGATGGAGGAAGTTGGCAAGCGGTACCGCGAGAGGAGAAGGCAGCAGAAGGTACCGCGAGGGAGGGGGGCCGTTTGCCGTGACCCCGAATCTTCTGGGAGGAGGGTTCTGGGGAGGGAGCCACTTTTCCTCTCTGCCCCCTGCCTGCCTCCTCTGTGTGATAGGAACAGTGACTACTCCCAACTTCTTGGAAGATGGGCTAAGACTGTCTGGAAGAACGGGGTTCCGCTCCCCATTTTCTAAAGACGACTTTGCATCCCGAGAGCAGGACTATTTGCCAGGCGATGGGACAGTAGGCAGAGATTCATCACAGCTGGATCCAGGCATCTGGCGCAGGGTCAGCCCTAGGTAGACATTCCAGAAAGACGTGCCGAGGGAAGGGAGGACGGACGGTGTGAATTAATCATCCCTAAATAGTAATCGGGAGCCCACAGGCGCCCTCCTGAGTCTGGTTAGGGAGGCAGACAGTATTAGGGGCCATGTATAATTATTTAACCTGTGGGTGCTATGCAAAATATTTGTGTCTACAAGGAAAGGCCAGGTGTTGGGAAGTGTAATATCAACGAAGATCTGATTCAGCTGTTTGACCAGAGAGCCCCGAACAGTAGAGCAGGTGTTGCAGACTTTCCCTGGGAGGGTCAGAGAGCAACTGTTCGAGGCCCGGCTGGCCCCGCCGTCTGGGTCCTTCACTGCGGGGTGAAAACAGTAACACCCCATAAAAACAGGTGTCTGGCCAGCTTTGACGTCTGAGCTGTACTTTGCTGATTTCAGTGTTAGAAGCTGGAAAAGCCAAAGGTCCTGCGACCTGGCTTTGCCACCCTAAATCTCAAAGTGACAAATGGCTGCCCCTCGTTTTTTTGTTTTTAAAGATGTATTTATTTATGCATATAGAACTGGGGTACAGGCCAGAGGTGCAGGTGTGGTGAGAGGCTTCACCAGAGACAGAGCGGGGAGCAGAAGAGGCAGATCGACTAAGTACACTGCCATGGGGGCAGCGGGCGGGTCAGCAGAGGTCTGCCGGGCCATGTGGTCCCTCCGGGGCGGGGATAGAACTCATGCTGAAGTGGCTGTGGCTTCTCATGGGGGGCCCTGCCCCCAGTTTTAACCGCCACACAGACCAACTTGAAGTGAGTGTTGTACCGTGAGTGTGAATTGTATGTAGGCTGCACCTCCCACATCCTGCTGTATCTACGGCAAGTACGGACTTGGGGTACACTGCGCACCACCCGGCGTGCCCCTGTGCCCGCAGCTGTCCCAGCCCTCCATCCGGTACTCGGAGCAGTGCCGCCTGGTGCGCAGTGGCGTCCAGCAGGTGGACGACCACTGCCTGCCGTCCACCATCCCCGGAGACATGCAGGAGCTGGTCAACGCGGCCCGCCGGGACACCTTCCTGGTCTACCTGCGCTGCTGGAAGCTCTGCAAGGCCTACGGCCTCTCGCTGACGGAGGACATCCTGATGAAGGGTGAGCCTCGGGCCCGCCCAGAGGCCCAGCGTCCACGGCAGGCTTGTCCCTCCCTGCCCCGTGAAGCCCAGCCCAGCCCGGGGCCTGGAAGGGGAGGCTGAGCCCCAAGGCATGGTGACGGCTCAGGCTCCAGACCTCAGGTTCTTGGGAGCTTGGGGTTCCCGCCTCTCCACAGCTTATCGTTTTCTTCCTCCTGGCTTTACAGGTAAAACTTTTGGTAGCTTAAACATTTTTGACAAACATACAAATATGAATTCCCCAGCCTGAATAGCCACCGTTAGTATTTTAATGACCATCCTTTTCATAATCCTGGTTCTTTTCCATTTACACAAAATATTTAAATTCATTTTAAAATCAAGTCTGGCTATACTTAAGGTAGAGCTATGTATGTAAGGTACACTGGTGTGTTTCCGTATATATACCAAGTAAGTATGTGTATATATATATATATATATATATACATATATATATATATTTAAGGAATATCTATAAAGTATTTAAGGTAATTTAAAGCATGAATACCTTTAAAAACCGTTGATGCACTCCATCTCTCCTTCCCTCCCCTCCCTTATCTCCTGTACTTTCTTGTCCCCAAATAACCAACTTTAATAACCTGGAGTGGAACCTTCCATCACCTTTCCTAGAGTAGGAGGGGGCTGAGGGTGAACAGTGCTGCTCAACCGTTGCAGGGAGAAGAAGCCCCCGGCCCTGCCTTGTTTTTATGATCTGCATTTAGAAAGGTCTCCCAGGGGTATCCGTGAGACTGACTCAAGACAAGGGGAAAAGGGAGGTGAACTAGAGCTCAGTCATCATCCTCCGCACCCCCTGGGCCCCCCGCATGATGCCCTGCCCAGGCTGACAGTGCAGGGCCTTGGGCAGTGCTCACCTACTGGTAGACAGGCTCCCTCATCTGTGTCCAGCCAGCAGTCCCCCGCCCACACTACCCCCGACACCCCACTTCCCACACCCCCACCACCACCCACTTCCCGTGCCATCCCTGATACCCCACCTCCCACACCAGTCCCTTGCCCACCCCATTTTCCACACCAGGCTTTACGCTGCTTCACCATGGAGTTGGGAGCCAGGTCTGAGGGACCCTCTGAGCTTTAATGGCAACTTGCTGTGAACCAACAATCACAAATAGAAAGTGAAAAATAATGTATATAAGAAAAAAACCCTTCTGAACATAAAGGTCAACTTATTAGAAACCAAACCAACCCTCTGCGCCGAGGGAGGGGAGGGTCGGCTGACCGGGGAGGGGCCGGCTGACCTGGGCAGGGGCCGGCTGACCACCTGCTGCGCTTGCTTTTGACAGCCCTGCTCTACCCCGGAGACAAGATCATCCTCCAGCAGGACCTGGTGCTCCCCATCCGCCAGCCCGGAGGTTACTATTTGGACTCCAAGAAGACCTGCCGCCTGAGAGCGGCCCAGCCCCGGCCGCCGCGCCTCCAGGAAGACGCCAAGAAGCTGGACCAGCTGAGTGCCAGGCCCGCTTCCTCCCCGCTCAGCCGCCTGCCGCCACTGCGGTCTGGCTGCTGTCAGGCCAGCGCAGGCCCCCTGGGAGAGCCCGGTGGCTGGCCAGTGGTTCCACAAGCCTAGCACTAGAGATGCGCTTTCGCCACCCTTATCTTCAGGCTGGAATCTGCCCTGGCTGGGGAAGTGGGAGTCAGGCACCCCAAGAGGAGTCTCCCGATAACGAACGCAGAAAGTCCCATTCTAGGAGATGAGAAATCCCCACGGGGAACAGAGTTGTCCCAAGTCACCCAGTCAGCAAGTTCCGAGTCCTTGTCAGTGACCACGGTGGTCATTCCGGGGCTCGCAGCCTGCCGTGTTCCACCGGAGGCTGGGGGGGGGGGGGGGCGCAGAGTCGGCCAGCGCTCCAGGCAGAAGAAATTCTCCTTTCCGAACTCTAGTTTGGACTCAGATATGCCCCTGCCCAGCCCCCAGCGCCTTTCCTGAGGCCCTGTCCACCTGGATTTCCCCTCTCCTGAGACCGCTCTCTCCCCTCCACTAGGAAATCGGCTCGGAAAATCAGGAAGTTACACTTTAAGGAGTTTGAGGAATTTGTCAGGTGTGCACTGGCCATGTACCTCTGGAAGGGGCGCTGGGTCTGTCTTCACCTGGAGTGGGCGCCTGGGACTGCGTGTCGCGGTGTGGGGGTGCCGAAGCAGGTGGGCCTGCTCCGTGGGTGTCCCTCTGTCACCGCGTTCAGCTCCTCTCCTGGTAACTACAGTTACTGAGCACACTTGTTTGACAAAGAGGAGACAGAGGCACACAGTGGCTCAAGTCACCCCCCACTTGGCAGTGGCAGTGTCTGCTGGCTGCAGAAGACACTGTCGGACAAATGTCTCTGCAGAACAGAGCTGTGTCCCTGAGTGTGGCAACTGCGAGTTAAGCCTGGGCTCAGCCAGGTGCTCACTGTGGCCTTGGGGACACCCCTGAGCTTCCCCAGGCCTTGGGGCCCCACGGGTTAGGGAGACAGAATAGCAACAGCAGCCGCGTGGAACTGTAGCCAAGGCGGACATGCTGAGGCCCTCCGTTGCCTCTCTACTCTGGGCGCTGTGGGCTTGCCCCGCGGTGAAGGGGCCCTGGTCCTGGCCTGCCTGTTATCACGGCTTCCCCTGTCTTTCCCTCTTCCAGGAAGATGAAGTTGAAGAGGCTGGATGTTACCCAGCAAACTCACCCCAATTTCTTCTGGCCGGGTCACCTCCTGGACAAGCTGCGGCTCTACCTGCCCACTACGGCTGTGGATCGGAGCCTGGCCATCTTCAGCTGTGTCCATCATCAGCCCCCCATCTATTCCTACCACTCCAACCACTGGTGGCCCATTACGAACAAGAACTACCTGACCTACGCCCATTACGATGCCAGCAAGGTCTATCACATCAACTAGAACGGCCCTGGTGTCGCTGGGCCCAGCCATCCTGGCCCAGCGTCATAAACATAGGCCAAAGAACCAGACACAAGACACACTGGAGAGCCAGCACTCTCCAGACCAACAGTGTCCCGGAGGGCAAATATGTCTACATGTAAAATATTTTAGTGTTTCCCTCTCCTGACCTTGACCCTTGGAAATAAACCAAGTGGAAGTCAGGACTTCACCGGTCACCCAGCTGATGTGATTTCTTGCCCAGGAGCTGTGGCTAGAGGGGTGTGTGGGAAGCTGGGGGCCTGATGCTGGGAGGGGAGGGCAGTCACATCCTTGGGATGTCCACCAACAGGGCAGCAGCGGGCCATGTGTACACCCTTTGCCCTTTCTGTGAAAGGAAGTGGAGTATGGCCCTCATCCCACAGGCTGAGCTTTCAGGTCACCACTTCCAAATCTTGGCAAGTGGAGGAACGCTCTTCTGGGGCCCTCGTCTGCCTAACCCAACCAACGCCGCCTGGACATTCTGCCGGGACCTTCAGGACAGGCATCATATGGGCAGCTTGCCCACTCACATCCCATCCCACCTTCCGCAGCCAGTGGATAAGCAGAATTCAGGCGGTGTGGTGTACTCATACACACAAGGGGATTTTGATCTCAACCCTCTCGTCAGCTGTCAACACTGGCTCCCTCCACGTCTCACAACTCACAACACACCCAGTTCAGCTTCTGTGTCCTATTAGCCCCCGACTTTATCCTCTCCAGATCACTGGTGACACCTGTGGAACCAAGTGGCTATTTTTTTCTCCTGAAATTTGAATTTTCAATCGTCTTACAAACAAGGGCTAAGCATGGGCCCTCCCTGGTGGCGCAGCAGGTTAAAGCACAGCACCAAGAAGCTAAAGTCACTTCCACATGAGTTCAATCCCTGCCTGCCCCAGAGGTGACCACATGGCTCGGCAGACCCCTCCTGTCTCCCCGCTGCTCCCCACAGCAGTGTGCTTCATCAGTTGGCTTGTTCTGCTCCCCACTCTGTCTCTGGTGAATCCTCTCACTGCCCCTGCACCTCTAGCCTGTATCCCAGTTCTGTGTGCACAAATAAATAAATCCAAAAAAAAAAAGGCTAAGCAAAACAAATCCAAAGCAAGAACAATAATGTAAAATCAGGCAGCCTAGCCTGGTGGTTAGAAGTGTGAATTTTGGAGTCCAGTCTCCCAAGTTCACTTTCGACATGTAAAATAGGGAAAATAGGACTATCTCACAGAATTGTGGGACTTACCTCATTGATTGATAGTTCTTATGTCCTAATCAATCTAATTTTTCATTCTAAACTGACGGGAGGAAATTATTAGTAAGTCTCTGTTTTGCTCCACCTTGGCCACTAGGAGGCGCATTTTGGTGTTGAAGACGCGCGAGCGGAAATACTAAAAAACCTGGATTATGCTCCGGGAAGCGGCTTCAACTTCTGGCGGAAGTGCTACCCTTCCCATCAGGTCCTAGAAGCCAAAAGAAATTCACTTATTTTCTTCGCAGTTCCAAGTGTAGAAGTGAAAACTTCTGCACTACTCGGCCGTATTAATACCTACGAAAGCACATGTGGCACTTGACCTTTTCCGGTATTGTTTCTCTGACCTGTCTTTATTTTTTTTGAAGAACCAAGAGCCGGAAGTGCTCGCCTTTCCCCTTCCAGGACCCAGAGGTTACGTCCCATCATCCCTTGCGCACACCACCCGCTTCTCTCTTCCTCGGCGCTACCTACGGTGGTGGCTGCCGTTTCCCATCCGGTGAGTCTTAATCGTCCTCCATCAGCGTCTCTGCGGTTTCTCTCTGGCTCATCGCTCTCTAGTGCGAAGGCCTGTCCTCCCGCCTGGCTGTCGTAGTAGGAATTTTCCTTATCGGGTGTCTGGATTGCGGTCAAGACAGTGAAATGGCCTGGCCAGTAGTGAAGATTCACTTTCTTGGGCCTCTTGCCCCGCTGCAGAGGCCGCCTGGGGCCAGTCGGCTGCGGACAGCATGTTTGGGTCCAGGCGGCGCGGAGCACTGGTTGGGGCCAAACTAGGGGATTTCTGGCGCGGGTGGAGGCTGCGGGAGCGACCGACAGATGTCCCGGCCTCCCGGCTCCGTTCCTCGGGTCGCCTCGCCCAGCGACATCTGGCCACGTGTGTCCTATTGCGGTGGCTCCAGGGTCTGACCTGCAGTTGCCGCCGCCGCAAGAGCTCCGTTGTCGTAAAGGATGTGGTGCCGGGGTGGAGCAGCCATTGAGCGCCTGTTATGTGTGTCTCAAGGAAGTCGATGGTCAGAACAGAAAGGGGGCTGCAGAGGGCCAAAAGGGTGGCGGGGAATGCCACGTTGAGGAAAGTTAGGTTATAGCCGGGCTCAGAACAGTGCTGGGAGACCCCGAGGCCTTTAGAGGCAGCTCTTGCTTTCGTATGTTTTGTGGGTGTAACTGAGCTGCAGGACTCCAGGGAAATTGTAAGCTCAGTTCTGGAAGCATCCTGTCCTTTTCATTTTCCGGGTGAGAAAACTTGACACTCGGGTGCAGGGTTGCCCAAGGTCCACACAGCTAAAAGGCGCTCGATGTGCAGCCCTAGCAGCGGATCATTAGGAGATCAGCTTGTTTGCGATGAGCTGCTGGCTTTTTTCTTGACTGAGTAGTAGGTGGGGTGCTCTGACCTCCCAGGATCGCGTCTGGAGAGTGCCTAGTATTCTGCCAGCTTCGGAGTTGGGAGGGAAAGCAAGCCCAGCAGAGGTACCCATTCCATTCCCAGCTTGCTCCGTAGCTGGTGATTGGAAGACACTCTGCAACAGTGCTCAAGGGCAGGCAGGGAAGCCCTTGCCTCCGGGACCCACGTTTAACACTTCTCTGCATCTTTCTCAAAGGCATCATGGCCGCCCTCAGACCCCTCAGGAAGCCCAAGATAGTCAAAAAAAGGACCAAGAAGTTCATCCGGCACCAATCAGACCGATATGTCAAAATTAAGGTACAAAGCCCTTGGAGGGAAGCCAGTGTTGCTGTGAATACGGGCCCCTAAGCAGGCTGTTGTCTTTCTGGCAGATTGCCTTTGGCAGGTGAACTGCTCTGCGATTCGCGGAAGCCCTGAAGCTCCTGCTTCTCCCTGAGTATGCCTCACTGACTGTTGATGTTCTGGCTTCTTGTATAATTGAAATTTAAGTGACACTGGACACTTGCCTGGTTTCCAGAAAGTTTATGTTTTATCAGGCGTTTCCGCTGACTGGACAGTGGGGAGAGGGGACTGTGTTTTGCGGATGAGGAGCCATAGGCCCTAAGATGAACAAAACCGCTCTCACTCACCCTCTACAGCCTCCTCACAGTCCATCCACGTTTCTGGGGTCAGGGACCCCTATTTTTTACAACAGAAAATATAAGTAGTGAGATCTTGTTGGGCAAAGATGGGTACTGATTGGTACATTTTCCCTCGGCCCCCCTCTGTCCAAAAGGGGGGCGTGGGCGGTCTGCACAGACACTAAGCGCTCCCTTGTTCTCTTTCAGCGTAACTGGCGGAAACCTAGAGGCATTGACAACAGGGTGCGCAGAAGGTTCAAAGGCCAGATCTTGATGCCCAACATCGGTTATGGGAGCAACAAGAAAACAAAGCACATGCTGCCCAGTGGCTTCCGCAAGTTCCTGGTGCACAACGTCAAGGAGCTTGAAGTGCTGCTGATGTGTAACAAGTGAGTCGGCCGTGGCCGGGCGCGGGCAGCAGTGAGCATCTGGCGAGCTGTGCCTGTAGGTGTATTTGGGGACTTAAAGGGAAGAGGTCTTGTTCTGAAAAGTGTAGAGACCCAAAGCTAGGAAAGAGGAGGACAGGGTAGAGTCTCTGTGGCGGTGCGTCCCTCTGTTGTGAGTTCTCTCGTTTCACATCCACCTCAGTTACACATGTCAGTCAACACCGGCCTGGAAATGTTCAATACAGAGATGCACTCATGTGACTCGGCGTAGTGTGTCTTATTCCTGCGTCTGGTTTGTTCTCTAAACCTTATCGCGGGTGGGTAGGTACAGGGGAGTGGTTGGTGCAGGATTCCATCCTGGGGCCAGGCCGAGCACATACACCCTGCTCCGGGGGCTGATGTACAGAATCGTCATTAAATACACATGGATACGCGCTTCTTAAGTGGAAAAGTAAAAAAAAAACCAAGAGAACATAAGTTGTAAAAATAGATTATGGAAACCTGTTAACATATACCTTGTGTTTATACACCTCATTTGCATTTACACAAAGTATTTTGCTTTGCTTGTCTCGCCCTAAAGCTTGTTTCCCAGCAGAGTTCCGTGAGAGAACTGTGTTCCCACTGTCTAGTCACTCCCTGCCGCCTTCTCTGCTGCCCCGGGAGTACGGTCTTCTCTCACTCTGCTGTTGGTGTTATCATAAGTCTCACTGCGGGGCAGTGAGGCAGGACCTGGAGCGCAGCGTTCGGCTGGCTGGCTTCGGCAGCTGACTTTCAACTTGAATTTTGTCTCAACAGACAAAACATTAAAGTGCTGTGCTCCGTGCCTGAGCTCCACTGGCAAGTTCAAACTCCCCAGTAACTGCCTGGAGTCTGACAGGTGGCGGGACTAACGGGGCACCTTTGGGACAGTTGTCCTGGCACGGTCCGTTACTTAATGTGTGACCATTCGTGTCCACCCTGCTGGGCCTTGTCTGAGTGGAGGTGGCGCCTGGGTGTACAAGGCCGTGCTCTCGAGGACCTGGCTTCAGTACGTGGACTCGAGGGAGTCACTTGCCAGCACGCCGCCCGGTGCTGTGACTGGCGTGACCAGTGTGTGGCTCCCCTGTGGGATTGCGGGGACATGCCAGCCTGTTACAGGCAGACTGCTCCTTACCACTTCCTGTTCTTCCAGATCTTACTGCGCTGAGATTGCGCACAACGTCTCCTCCAAGAACCGCAAAGCCATCGTGGAAAGAGCAGCGCAGCTGGCCATCCGAGTCACCAACCCCAACGCCAGGCTGCGCAGCGAAGAGAACGAGTAGCCTGCTCCTGCGTGTCTATTGTGTTAATAAAACCATTGAAACTGCCTCTGGCAATCCCCTGGGTGTTTACTCCTGCATTTCTTACTTAGGCAGTTTGTCGCACAGATTGTTCTTGTGCTGTTGATCCTCTGGAAGCTTGCTTTTAA